CTCCTAATAAGACTGGTTCTCTTGACCCTTCACCAGCTTCGTTGCCCTTCTTTGGACATGCTCCAGCACCTCAATGTCTTTCTTGTAGTGAGGGGCCCAAAACTGAACACAGTTCACAGAATCATAGAATGGTTTGGGTTAGAAGGGACCTTTAAAGATCATCTAGTCCAACTCCCCTGTGTGGACAGGGACATCTTTCACTAGATCAGGTTGCTCAAAGCACTTCCCTTTAAGCCTGTGTTTCTTAACAGAGATAAGAACACATCTCTGTTCTTAAGCACACATCCATTTCACTTCCTTCCACTGACATTCGCATTGGTGCTTCTCTTTCAGAACACCAGTCTCAAGCATCATCTTTGACTGGTCCTTGTATGCCCTTATCAGTTCTCTACATTATTGTATCCTTTGGCATCTTCTACCTGTTTAATATAATTCCCTGTAATACATCTTTTGGTGTTGTCCAGTTTTGCTTTACATGTACCATTAGCATTAGAAAGGAAATGAAAATTACTAGGCACTCTCTTACTGGTTCACTCAACATGAATAAACATTTCCATCTGCCACAGAGCAAATCATTTCAATCTTCAACAAAACAAAAACCCCTCTGAAATCAGTAAGAGCATTGAGCCAAAATGAAACAAGAGGTTTTCGATAAGAAATGGATACTATTGCTTGTACATAACAGAAAGAATACTCATCACTATTCCAGCTTTAACTTGGAGTCAAGCATGGAGGAAAAAAAAAAGTCACAAATAATTATGGCACACAGCCATACATACTATTTCCCAGTCTTTATATTCGCAAAGTTTCCTCAAATATCCCAGGTAATTACATCTATTTCAGAACCACCCAAAGCAGTAACAAAGAGGATCCTGAATTCTCGTTATCAAAGCCAAATTCTAGTGCAAACACTATGACACCTAGTCCCTCCCTGACTTTAGATACTAGTGAGTCTTAAATACACCCTAAAAAAGGGGGTATGTTCTAGCAGACCAGGCAAGCATCTGTCAGAGCCCTTCTGATGGTCACAGAGGGGACGTTATCACTGGCACCACCACAGTAGACTGACATTACAAGACAACGTTTGAGCTGTCATGAAGGATCAGATGACATGCTTTTATTTAAGCACGAATGATTTTGAAATAGAAATGGGAATTTCGGCAAGTTGCAGGTTGAACAAATTGATTCTGTACAATCTGTTTTTCACTTTTGCTCCAGAGAGGAAGCTTAAGAAATTCACACTACATGGAGAGTCAAAGAAATTGATGGTTTCGTACTAGCACTATATCACTGCCAGAAGCTCAAGCTAAACCAATCACTTCTTAAACTAGAAATGGGCCTGAGACATGATGTTCTGATCTCAATCTGAACTTCACGAAGTTCGTGGTGGTTATGTTAGGATTTGGCATTTGGCTTAGGATCTTCTCCACTTTTAACAATGAAGAAAAATCTTAAAGTAACAGTGGACCCTCCTCTAACAAGTTTAATAGAAATCAATGAATCAGTTTGATCCAATCTCATTTCAACATTATAAGAAGTCTAAATAGGTGTCTTTTAGCACTGCAGTTATAATAAACCCCTCTAAGTCTCTCTGCAAGTCATTCTAGTATAGATGTGAATTCCAATATGAACAAGATTTGAGGACATCCCTGGACGTATTTGCCTGGTAATTACTGGCTAAAGCACAAACTTGAGCCAGGGAAAGATTTTTAGAACAACAGAGCCCTCTAATGGATTAATGCTGTATTACTGGGTTTTTCTTCAGCGCTGCAGTAAAAATAATTCGGTTTTCAACTTGAAAATAAAACGCAAGAGGTACTGAGAGAAGAATTGCAGACTATGAAAGCCTAAGGGCAGAAACTATTTATTCTGATTCCCAAATAGCCAGAAATCACATAAAGAAAGAGACATTGTTCAAATGGAGGATCTAAAAAGAAATCTCTTACGACCATTTGATATTTTTGGTTTTAAGTAAATAAGCTTTGGGAAGAAGCTGGTTTTGCACCATTGTTTGTAATATTTATACACACAGCTGAGAGGCTGGCACCATGTCTAACCTTCATTCTGTTTCAGGGCTTGATTTTGGTTTGCCTTCTGCTGCACTGCAGTCGGTGATCTCTGCAGAGCATCCATGTAGTAGAAGGGAATAAACATCTAGTACAAAGGCTGTATAAGGGTGTGCTTTCACGATCAGCTAAAGCAAATCTGAAATCAATGATGTTGAAAGGGCAAAGCTGATACCATACAGCCGCACAAACAACAGAACCAACACACACATGCACACACAAAATAGTCATTTAAAAAAATCTGTAAGAAAGGAGATTTAAGGGTGGGGGGAGCAGTCTTAGATTACCTTAGTCATAATCTGCACCCTGAAAACATGTAACAGAGCAATCAAGAGCCCTTCAACAGTGAATTGGCTCTGGAACAGTTTTGTATCAACATATACAGTCAGAAAAACTGACTCAGCAATAGTGGGCAGAGCTGGGAGCGCCCCATATCAACAGAGAAAGATCAAAGGACTACTAGAGGCAAGAAAGATGCTCCCAATGGTTATATGCAGGTAGAGTAAGGAAGAAGAAAGCAAGCAAAAAATGGATGCCTGGTACTGAGACTTTCAAGAGGGACATCGCTAGTTTCTAATAACCTATCACTCTGGAAGAGAAATTCCTCCACAAGTCTGTATACCTCATTGAAGTATGTCCTGGTTTCAGCTGGGATAGAGTTAACTGTCTTCCTAGTAGCTGGTACAGTGCTATGTTTTGAGTTCAGTATGTGAAGAATGTTGATAACACTGATGTTTTCAGTTGTTGCTCAGTAGTGTTTAGACTAGAGTCAAGGATTTTTCAGCTTCTCATGCCCAGCCAGGGCACCTGACCCAAACTGGCCAACAGTGTATTCCATACCATGTGACGTCCCATCTAGTTTAGGAACTGGGAAGTGGGGGGGGAGGGATTTCGCCGCTTGGGGGACTGGCTGGGTGTCGGTCGGCGGGTGGTGAGCAATTGCCCTGCGCATCATTTGTACATTTCAATCCTTTTATTACTACTGTTGTCATTTTATTAGTGTTATCATTATCATTATTAGTCTCTTCTTTTCTGTTCTATTAAATCATTCTTATCTCAACCCAGGAGTTTTACTTCTTTTCCTGATTTTCTCCCCCATCCCACTGGATGGGGGGGAGTGAGTGAGCGGCTGCGTGGTGCTTAGTTGCTGGCTGGGGTTAAACCACGACAAAGTACCACATTTGTCCCTTAACCAAGAAGCTCAGAGCATCCATAAGAGAGCACTCAAAAGTATTCAGGGGCATGAGATGAATACAGTATTAATTCTGAAGGTAAAAGTGGCTCATTACAACGAACATCCACACAAGAGAGGACTCTCATTGATAAGAACGCATTCCAAGGATTCTCACTGATGAAATACCTGGAAACCCCACAATGGAGTAGTAACATTGAGCACTGCAGCACAGTGTGGGTCATCCCACAGGCAGAGACTGTAAAGTAAGTTGGTCAACTTCATTCTTTCTATTGGAATGATGTAAGAGAAACTCAGTGAACTACAGGGTCTTAGGGTGAGGGGGTGGTGTTTGCATTTTGGTTTTGTTCCTCCTTAAAGACATTTACCTGTAAACTTTACTTAAACTAACTGGCAGGTCACCTATTCAGCACAATAATCAAGACTGAGGATTTCAGTATAGCTAAAGAGAGTACTGTGCTCAACTGTGAAGACCAATTTCTCTCCATGGTGCTCATTCAGCAAAACACATCTTGCAGGCTTAAATTCAAATGGCATGTAGCCACTTTTGGTGAAATATTACATGTCTAAATCATTGTGGAGTTTTGTTATAGCTACAATAGAACAGTATAAATCCATAAATTGCATCATGTTTTTGATTAGTTGGTCGTTGACTGACCTCAAAGAATGTACCTGACAAGTAAAACTGCCGTGGAGCACAGTAAGTAGAAAGAAAAAAAAAAAAAGTCTTTCTCAGTCTCAAATTTCCTGCCATACCCTGGGAAAGAATAGTAAGATCTAATATTGAACACTATGTGGTCCCTCAAGCCCATCTAAATAATGTCACACTTAATAGGATAACAGGAGAAGAAACGAGATCAACTCCAAAATGAAAAGTCTTAGTGAGAGACCATTCACATTTGAAACAGGAGTTTGCCTGTACACAAATTTGAAACAAAATAAGAACAAGGCAAGCATGTAACAACATCTCCCTCAAATGCCCTCCCAGGTTCCAGCTACTTGTGAGTCAATTTCCTCACACAGAAGTAATATCTTCCACTTAATGTCCTACAATATATTTTTCTTCCACTAGTTCACACAGTCATTCATTGCACCCAATTATCCTCACTTATCCCGTATCTACAGCATCCTGAAGAGTTCCACAGCTAACTACTTTACATCATAATACAGTCATGCCGAAAAAACAAAAACCCCTAGATTTTGGGAGTTGAAATGAGAGGCCTACTTCATGTTTTTTAATACTGGATTTGTTTAAAATATTACGGTGCACAACAGAAACTGACCAATCTAGGCTCTTAAAAACACAAAGAACATCAGTTTTGAACATTTAGCTGAAGTATCATTTAAATACCACAATCTACTTCTGTATAGCACACTTTCCAGAGCACTGTATTATAGGACAGTGAAACCTGTGCACAAAATAAGCCTTCTGATTTAGTAGAGTGCTTATGGCACACATGTTAAGAGTGAATTAATCCCAGCTCTGCCACTAACCTGTTGTGACACTCAGGGCTTTTCACCTCACCTTACTACATATTCATTTTTTCCACTGTACAATAGACATAATGATTCTTCACCTGCTTTTTGAAGCCTTCTGAGAATTGCAGCAATAAAGTACTACATAAAAAGAGATATGCATTTATATTGAAATGCACCTATTCACAAAGAGCCATCAATTTCCAACTCACTAGTTAAACTATCTTTATAAGCATTCATTCACAAAAAGCATATGAAAAATTTACCTGCTCATTTTTGCAGATCCATACAGTATTCCCCTGAAGTAGAATAAAGATTTTGGCTTTGTATCCTTTCAGCTCAAGATACCCACTTTTCTCAGGGGTGACAGAAGTTCGAGACTGAGAGTTATTATCAGACTGTGATTTCAAGGCATTGAGCACCGTATTAACCCAGTCATTCCTTTCTTCTAAACAAGAAAAAAAAATAGACAAAGACATATGGTTAAGCAGCAACTCCATTCTTCACTACATATTGGTTTTCCTCTTCTTCCTACTATGCTATGCTGGTTGATGGTATAGCTGTACCACTCCAGAGAGAACGACCACTTTGAAGACAAGGTATAAATAAAAATAACATGAAAGTCCGTATCAGTGGAGATGTTAGCACAGACAACCATTCAATTAACTCCCAACAATCAACACACAAATTGAAAGTTATACAAACTGATGATCAAGACTCTTAAAATCGTAACTACCAGTTCCAAGATGCTTAATTCCAGACAGCTTGAAGACTGAGGTGGTAGACAGGTGGCATGTTCACCTTCTGGAAGCCAGATCAATGAGAAAGAACTCCAGAAGTTATGCAGCAAAAACCAGGGAGCTTAAATATCATCTGTCACTAAAGACACAAGCCATTGCCAGTGCTATTATATGTTTGGCCATGCTTTTAAGCAAAAACATTTGGCAATTTACAATCTATTCCATTAAGGTGTAGTGGATAAGTTTGATATTGTCAAAGGTACTGAGTAATCAAGAAAATGCATGTTTTAATATCTTTGCATGCATTATTAATTTAACATCTTACAAATACATGAATACAAGTAGGTGAAGTAATAAAGTTCCACTCAGTCTCATTCACTACGTTCAGATATTTCACCAGACCAAGATCAATATACTTCAGTGCCGAATACTCTGAATGAATTAGACTTACCTCATGCGATTGGAACATCATGAATATTTCAACTCTTTGCTCTGAAAGATTCAGGTCATAAAATTTATTGGGGGTGGGCAAGGAGGGAAGGAAAGTTCTATCCGCAGTATATCTAATGTTGACACAATCAGTGCTGAACACTGCAAAGAGCACCATTAGAACAGTAACGTGCTTACTTTGTGTCACATGTGCAACAAGAAGGAACAAATACATGAATTTAAGCATCAGAAAATAGTCTGAAGAGGAAGATAGCTGGACAGACTAGCACAGGGAAGGTGATCCAAGTGCTCCTCTTAGAAGTTTTGTTTTAATACACACTCTTTTAACATACTTTGAAAAGATCAATGGAATATTTCAGTACAGTTGAGGGCATCAAATTCCTCTAGAAGTCTTCTTTTTTTTAATGGTATTTCAGTCCAATGAAAATCACACTGCATCTGAGCAGATTATTCTCGAATTCATTGCTATCCCTTAACTACTTAATTTTTTGCCCTCAAATGCCCATAAACTTTCCAATTCATTATATATAGTTCTTCCCTCTAGGTATTTAAATCAATCAAAAAATATTGTATTTTTAATATAGAAAAAAATAATAAATCAGAGCACTGAAAGCAAACAAAACAAATTTGAAAGAAAATAAGAACAAGGCAAGCATGTAACAACATCTCCCTCAAATGCCCTCCACTATAATCCACTGATTGCATACCAACATTGGGACACAGGTCAATGAAGACAATGATAGCATTCTTTATTTTGCTACTCCAGCAGAAAGAAAGGGAAGTTAATAAATATGGTCCATGGGATGAAATATATATAGAAGTTCCATTTCAAAATCTTTGAAAAGAAGTTAAGTACCCTTCAAATGGTGCCAGAACAATTCCCAACCACAAATCCACAGAAGGAATAGCATCAAGTAACAGTTTGTGTGCTTAATAGCAAGCAAGCAGGGTTATTCACATAATTTACTATGAATACATCATCCAGCTCTGGATACAGGAAGGATCAAGTTACTTGTACACCGCCCATTTCTAACCTTAAGTGAACAGCTTTACAGATAGGCCACTATGTCCAAAGATGGTTACATACTAAATGAAAACACAATTTCACGTATAACAAGTGGTTGCTCTGAATATGCTTTATAAGTCACGATAAATTGTTAACATTTTTATAGTATTCAAAGGCAATGGTCCATAAAGTAAATTCCAGCCCTACAAAATGCATTGCACTAAGATGGCTATGTTCCAATTTATAAAAAAAATAAAAAAATAAATTTGGAAGAGAATTGTAAAAATAATAAAAATAGACATACTTTTTAACTCAGCTAAGAGCATAAAAATGCCTGAAATGATTTGAGCCAAACCTGGTAAGAAGGATTTGTTCACTGATGCTGCACTCCTGTTACAGCCCGCAGTGAATGTTTACAACCAAGCTATAACCCATAAAAATGGGATTTGATAATGGAAGTGCTGAGAGACCCTTAGCTCTAATGGGTCTGGCATGTACTGCTATAAATACATATTGCATATCTTTTTTTCCTAGGTATTCTGTTTCATTTGATTGTTTCCATAAATAAGTCATACATGCACTGATATTGATTCCACATATTACAGCTGTAGGTTGATAAAGCATTAAATTAGAAGGCATACTAACTTCCCTACTACAATTTACATTTGTGTTTTCTATTAATACATGGCTGAAAATACTGTATAAGGCAGTAAATACAGACACACAGAAAAACCCAGATTTCCTTTGATCACAGCATCACATTCAAGCCATCAACTTCATTGTTGCTCTTTGTCAATTTTATATCAATCAGTGACTCAGAGCAGATGGCTGAGAGCATACAGGCTGTAAGAGCTGCTAGTGAAACCTGAGGAATGTCCAGACAAATTCATCTTTGGGAAGGATGGGGGAGGAGGCAGAAGAGTTGGAAAATAGTACTCTCATTTTGATATTTTTAAAAGCCATTCCCCAACAATTTCCGTTGTTCTTATAAAGCTTACAGTAATCTCCAGTTTCACTTTATGAGCCCAACACAGCTGGATTCCAGAAATATTCCAGGTAATATAACAAATTATATTTCACAAATACAATTTATCAGCAGTGATTACATGGCTTTGGCAATCATTAGAATTACACATGTTCTACTTACCTTCTTTATCCACACGGAAGACAAAAGTCCTATGGGATGTGACAACTTCAAATTTATTCTCCCCATGAACTCTTACTGTTGCTATAGCAGAGAGCAGTATTATTCCCTTTGAGAACACTTCCTATAATAAAAATGATACAGAAATAGTTAATAACACTCATGAACCGTTAAAGATCTCTCAGGTAATACTACTTGCCTGATGTTTAGGAAGTTCACATACACAGGCTGTGCTCCTAAAAGTTCACCACACTATTAATAAAACTGCATCAGTAAGTAAACCATTTCACTACCTACATACACATCACCAACGTCACGGTTCTGGGTCTATGCATACCTACTGCCTTCTAAAATACAGTAAAATCCCATGGTGAGCTAGAATGCATATATCTGAGATACCACTTCATAAATTGTCTCATGGCACAAATATTGTAAAATATCATATTCTCTTAAATTTATGATTTTATGCCAAAGTAAATTACATTGACTATCTCACAGAACCATAATTAAAAAAATACGTAACTATTACACTTGTAAAATAGAATCAGACAAGGGAAAAAATTGTGTCTTCTCCAGAGAGAAAATTCCAAAGAATTCTTCTGTTCCTTCCTGACTCCTTCAGTGACTAAACAATAAGAACAGTAAATTCACTGATTTTATCCCTAATTTTGAACTAAAAGGGGGTCACCACTTTCTGGAAAAATCCATTGCCCTGTCATTGCTAACAAAAATCCTCTAGCTTGGATCAGGTATTTACTTTTCTGCTATATGAGACAGGAGGAGAACAATCCCTCAAAAACATGATTTGGCATCAGAGCAAGTTTTCCCAGAATTTGCTCATTTCCAACTAGGAATTGGGACAACTGAACTGAAGACAAAAGCAAGATGGGAAAAAAGGAATTGCTACAAGTACTTTCTCCAAGTAGCTTCATCTTCTAACCTAATTAACCTAAGTATTCTGGGGTGGGGGGGGAGGAAAGCTCAGACTTGCAACACTTCAGAAATACTTCTGCATGATTCCTGGATTCCAGAGTTAATGCTGCTGCTCTTGTCTCCACTATGCTTTGATCAATTGGTTTTCTGACTAAGACGATTTAGAAATACTGCTAAGATTTATGATCCAGGTGCAGTAATAGTCCAAGAGCCAGCTCCCTATAAAGAATCTGTACTGCAATAACTTTCCTCCCAAAGTATAAATTATTATAATAGACTTTATACAAGGACTTAAGGAACCACTGTGAATGCTAAGCATGAAGGATACACAGGTTCATTTTTTTGTGTACTCAGTTTAACATACTACTGATTTTCACCAAATTCACACTCTTATGTTGTTTCACTTCTAGGTACTAACACACGACAGTGAATGCAGTTTAGCAAATAAATAAATAGAAATATCAAGGTACAGCTGAAGTGAACATGTTACTGTAATTACACACAAGAACTACAGTCACTCAGAATGGTCTTAGTATTGCATATCTATTTTCATTATATTTGTTAGAAGAGAAATTTTAACATATTTGTTAATAAGGTTGGATATTACGTTAACTGCTGATCATTCACAATAGCAAAGCAAACTTATTACATATGCTATTTCTAAAGGTGTTCAGATATCATTGTATCATGGTCTTTGCAGGCATCTACTGGCTGTATATGGTACTGTAAGAGAGTAATTTAGACTGCTGGAAGTCACAGCTATTTTATTTTATTTGCTTAAAAAAAAATAGTCCATTTCCTTTTAAGCTGAGCATAGTTTTGGTTTTGCTATTTAAACAATCATCTTTTTTAAAGCTTTGCTCTCCAAGGCATACATATTTTCAAATACAGTTTAAGCCATAATAATTTCTCAATCTTTTTTCTGCAGCAGCTTCTCCTTCGCATGCAAGAAATAATGCCTACTGTTAAAAAGCTCTTGTTGATCAAGATACAATTTCTCTATTTGAAATACTCCAGATTAGAAATTATTTAAGAATATAGAAAACACAAACACACATGGCCAAGAACCTCACAGATACTTCTTCTGTTACTGAGAGATGTACACTAGTTTTAAGACTGCTAAAAAATTCTGACAGAAAATTTTCCAGTGGCAAATGAAATATTTTTTTTTTATATCAACTGCTTTGATGAAAACTTTTATTTTCAAATACAGTCCAATGTCACTCCTTGGCAGTTGTATTTCAGAGTTGGTCTAAAAGATCCCAGAAAACACCATTTCACACTGCTTTGGCTTTCCTTCCACAACAGATTAAATATGACCTATTTCAAGAATGACAATGATTCACCTGTTTTGCAGTGAATTTTGTTCTTTGTTATGCTCACATGCAACATAACAAAACAAAATATTAAAGTTCTCCACATGAAAAGGCAAGACTTTTTCCTAAATCATTAATGTATTTGTCAGGGACCCTAAGCTGTTTTTATATAAAAATTTTCAACATAACCAGCAGGTTTTGCCTTACTAAAAAGTGCACGTTAGAGCACCAGAGTTCTCCTGCCAAAAGTAGGAAGAAATTTGAAACAAAACCTGTGCATATTGGGTAGCTGAAAAGAATTCTCAAATTCTACCTTCCCCTCTTCAATTTGCTCTCACTTCAGTTCACCACATTCTGTTAAGACAAAACCACACAGGATGTTGCTCTGACCACATCAACTTGCTCAGGTCCACAAACATAGAAGAAATGAGCAGCATCACAGATTCAAACAAAAACCGTTCCTAGGTCAGATGCTGTTTGTAGAAAACTATTTTTTTTTCCATATATGCAGATATAAAGTAAAAAAGAGATCTCTATCGATAAGAAGTTGATGCACAACTAGATCAAGATTAGAGAAACATTTAGAAAATTGAGGTTAAATCATTCAGAGAAGCGTTTAGATGGGTTAAGTACACATTTTCAAGAATACTACTCTCTATGTCTTCCCACCCCATCCTCCACTTGTTTCACTCTTCATTAGCCATGTAGTACACTTCCCCTTCTTGAGAACCTCACTCTTTTCAAATTCCTAATTTGAATGACAAATAGAGCTATTTAATATTGGTAGTGTTTCTGGATAAAATAAACAGTTTCATTCCACTGAGTCTACCCTTCTCTGCTTGTAATAGAAAAATATCGGAGTATGGATTGATTTCCTTTTGAGAACCAGTTTTAATTGATATGTGAAACCAAAAGTATAATTCCTTTTAACCTGCTTGCCTGCGTAGGAATGTCCTTGGACAAACACACATTAGAATAGACAGAACTTGTCATTAAGATCTAAAGTTAAAACAACAACTTCCCCATTTAAATATATATATAGCTAGACTGCCTTGCAACAAACTGTATAACTATCCCCATCTTTTACCAGAAACGGCTCCTGACCCGCATGCAGGTCTTGACGGGTCTGCACATAGTTGCTTACGATGTCAAGGTAACAACCCACAAGCAACAGCAGGAACATGCTGGTATCCACCTAGCAGGCAATATGAATACTCTGGGTGTGGGAGTAGTGATCCAGCAGGGACCACTGTACTAAAAACTCACGTTCCCTAGTGATACCACGGCTCACCCAACACAATCCCACTGTGCACTGAGAACTATTGGTAGCCAACTATGTTTTCCTCCTATCTGCAAGCTAGTCCAAGAGTTTCACCAAATCCTCAGTTCCCAGAATTTGCTTCAGGCCTCGCAGTTCTCAGACATATGAAGTTCTTAGCATATGTGACTCATTGAGTTAACAAGACAGACACCCAGATCTGGTCAAACTGTAGAGACACACAGACCAACCAGCATCTCTTTTGATTCCAGGAGTGAGGTTTTGTACTCAGATTCCAGGAAAAGCAAGAGAAAGAGGCTTCAGACCAAGCCTTTTGCAAGCTCCTGATAGTCTAATCTATCACAGAGACATTTTAATTGGAGGATGGAGAGTTGGCAGCCTTCTATGCATCGTGTGACTCGCTAAATATTCCCCTGAGCAGAAAGGAAGATTCCTGGAATCTCCTGTGACAGACAAATGTATAACATGTACTATTCTACAGCAATTGATCTCCCAGTAACTCTTTCAGTGACCTTCAAAAAACAAAAAAAAATCCCCAGTGCAGATACAAGATTTGAAATTCTGTATTAGCATTTCTTTCCCTAATTATGCTACAGACAATGTGAAGCAAATCCCAATGCTGTATTTTTCAAGTCCTTCTTAATGACTAACCCTGCTTTTCTGCTCCTCTGAAGCCCTGGGATGAATACCATAAAGGGGTAATATTTTTTGTCACTGCAATCCAAATGTTATTCCATTGTTCCCTTCAGCTACAAAATCATGTCTTCTACTGTGACTGAAGCAAAGTAAGCAAGTAAAACCAAATTGTTTCATGTTCCTAATCAGTAGGCATAAAGATCAATGTAAATAATTTTTTGAGCTTGTTCTTAATTTCTCTAGCTCCTCAGGAAATAAACAGTCTTTTTCTACTTCAGTTCTACCCCCCTCATAATCTGTTAAAATAGGACTAACAGTGTGCATATTATATTACCACCACCCAGCACACTGCTTGGGAACTTTTACCTGAAATAATATTTTGTTCCTAATTTAATATGCATCTAATTTAATATGCATTAATATTCCAGCATTTCAAATAACACACATGCATATAACCTCATCTCCACCAAACACACTTATTATACAATCACAAATATCTGTCACTTAAGAACTTCTTCATTTCTTCTAAGAGGAGAAATTAATTAATCACAGAGTGAAAGAAAAAGAATTTTTTAGTGGTCTAAAGTGTATCAAATAAAAAAAATAATAAAAAATCTTTCAGAAAAAGCCATGTTTAAAACAGGCCTTAAAAAAAATGTAGTTTCTACTGGGAAAAAGTAGTATCAAAAGGTTATATAAGTCTTTTGTACATCTCCATTTCATAAAAGGAATAGACATTTTGTTGAAAACCATGATTTACAAATCCATTTTTGTATCACATATCAGAATTGAACTACTTTAAACAAAACAACTCAGAAGTCTGGAAATGTTTCACTAAGACTCAATCTTTAGGTACAGAACCAAAGAACAGCCACTGACATCGCAGTACCACGCTGATTTTAAAGAGACCCACTCAAACATAACCTAGTCCAATGATATGTGATTATTCCTAGAAGACAAACAGGGAAGAGACTTTTTTTTGATTAAGGAGTAAACAAGTGTATGGCGTTTGGGGTTTTTAAAAGGTCTTCTATGCCACATATTTAATATTTCTCTCAAAATCTCCAGCAAGCTGGGTTCCCATGACAAGACACTTTGCAACCACCATCAAAATAACACTGGATCTCTTAAATGTGTTTTGCATGATCCTGTTCTGTTTTGCAGAATGCAGCAGTGTCACTCTTCCAATAAAGTAAGAAGTTCTGATAATATCTACCTGAAAAGGTCAGGAATACAAGCCCTTCTAGGAAACAAGAGGATGAACAATACATGAAGATCTCAAGGACACCTTAAAATATTTAATAATGTCTCATCCTAGTACTTTGCAACTGAAAATTAATTTAAGATGAATATTCCTTTGTAATTATTTCTGAATTTCTTCATGGTAATGTGTGTATTACACTAATGCAATTTTGTCCCAAACATGACCAAAACATGCCACTTACCTTTTCATTATTGTAGTAAGAAATGCTGTCTCCATCAAACTTAACCCAGCGCTTCTGAAACACACATTTGCTGTGAAACAAAAATTAATACAATTGAAATTATAAACACAAGTTAACACTGGCTTTTAAGAATGTCTCAAGCACAAAGTATAGAAAGGTCAAATCATGTTTAGCTTCCTGTGTGTGGGCCTAAACATTTCGAAAATTAAAACATATCTTAGCCCTATCATATCTTCTCAAACGGAGGATGCTGATTTCAAGTGTAATAAAAATACCTGGAAACAAGAAGCAGAGTATTACTGGACTTCTTTTATAAATCAGTATCTTCATGTTTTTAATCAGTTCAGTTTTCTTTCTATTTCCTCCCCATGTGCTCTATATCACTGCTGAAGTGATAGAAGAAAAAGAACTTTCAAAAATGTAATTTTGCTTGAAACTAACAAGGACAAGAACTGACTGTTTTTATCGGAGGGAAAGGAATATTCTGAACACAGAGTATACCTTTAAGTGTTACAAGTTCCGTAAGATACTTTCCAAAAAGGAAAGCTGAGAACCTATAAGGACCTCCTAAAAAAATTATTTTTACATGAACCTGAAGCAGTCTGTTATTCTCATTAAAAAGGTTGATAGCCTATTAGTTATCATCTATAAAAGTTTCAATTCTAAAATCTATTAAACAAGTTAATTAAGCAAGAACAAGACCCCACTCTAACATCTCTTTTCCCAGCATTATCTCCTTTCCTGCTAAATGAGTGCTCGGCTGTAGGATTAGTAGACTGTGATAGTTTATCAAAACTTTAATCAAATAGCAGCTCTGGCTTAATTAACTTGTATTATATGGCTACAATAAATCATCATTTTTCATAACCTGGAAAGGCCAATGTAAAATCTATTTTCCATTAAAATGTCAATAAACTTCAAGATGATGCAGGGAAGAAAAACTGAACCTAAGTACCACATACAACGTGAGTAAACTGAATGGCTTTACAATTTATAGTGAGTTAACTAAAAAGAGAACCTGTACTTTAAATGCATGATTTGTAGCAGTTTAAGAAAACACTATATATTCATTCCCCTGAAGAGACACAAAGTGTCAGGTGTAAATGGGAGCTCTATAAAAAGGAGGGGAGGGGGGGCGGTGTAGAACAGAAAGAAACATTCAGTTGATAGGGTCTGAAATAAAAAATGACAGTGCTTCAAGGGACAAAAAAAAAATAATTGTTTGGTTCTTTTTTTCCTTTGGTTGGTTTCTTTAAGTGTTCAGATATTTGAGAAATGGTACTGTAAGAAAGAGAACTAATAAAATGTAGCATTCATTAAACCACGTTTAAGAAAGTCCTTGAAATTTAGCGAAGGAATATCACTGGCTCAAGGCTAATGACCCTGCAATTGTTCTACTCAGTCCTAACTAGTACTAATTTTGTGGTTAACTCATTATCTGTTTCAAAGAATATATTCTCACACAGTACTTTATCGAAAGCCTTCACACTTTGTTCACAATTCTGTTCCTTCAAAAAGCAGAAGACGAGTCAACGGGAACCAAGAACTATACTTTTTAATCACTCTATTAGCTAACTGCCAAAAATGTTGTTTAAAAAAAAAAAATTGAAATAAAACAAAAGTTAAAGTTAACTGCAGCTCTCTGAGAAGTCAATACACTAACAATTCTGAAGAAAAGATGTGCAAATGCATATGATACTGGGAAAAGGCCTTTTGACTCTGTGTATAATTATTCTTTGATTCTTTAGCAAAAGTAAACAATGACAACCCATAAGTGTGAATGAAACTTTTGAAATAATTTAAAATTAAAAAAAGTTTGAGCAGATTGAAATTCCATGATGGTCAAATAGGTTTGTTAAACCAGGTTTATTCCTTGCTATTCAGCTTCATCAGTGTATCACTGTATCAACACAAATAAAGCCAAAATCCAAAAAATTAGAACTTGCTAAATCAGAACTCTTAAAAAGGAACAACAAAAAAATGGAAATTGCTATACAATAGAGCTCCTTCCAGTGGGCTCAAACCAGATTGTATTCTCAACCATTTTAATTCAATAACTTTGTCACTAAACTGAAAAAAATTTTAATTGCTGTACTAGTTGATGAGTAGTGATGATTATTATAGCCCCAAATAATGAAAGGCCAAACAATTTAATACCACCTTTCAGTGTAGGTAAACATACAGTCCTAAGAACAAAGAATGAAGAACTACTAAGGCTTGAGTAGGAGTACAGTAAAGTAGATGTATTACAGCACCAACAAGGACAACAGCTTTAATTTCTAGATCCTAAGTACTAGTGAAGATCAGAAATAGACTTAAAAAGTAGAATTGTGCCACTTTCAATACAAAAAGGAATTTAGAAAAAAGTCATAAGAACAACTGGAGAACTGGAAACTACAATTTAAAATGAAGAATAGCCTATTCGGTTTATTAAAGAGGAGGTTAGAAGAATTTCATCAGAGTTTGCAAGTATTATGAAGGGAAGATCTGATAATAGAGTGTTCTTTAGTGTAAAACAACCTAAGAAGAGCTAGAGTTTAAAGTAGGTTAAAACAAAATAATTACAAAAACTTTTTAAAATAACAGAAATTAACCATAAGATTTTGGGGGTTTGTTTTTGTTTTTGGGGTTTTTTTTTATTTTTTGGGTTTTGTTGGGTTTTTTTACCTACAAATGTGGCAAAGAGTTTATTCTCTTTCTATTGTATTCCTCTCTCCTCTTCATTATTTGAAATCTTAAAGCAAGACTTGGGCTCAGACTCCTCCCATCAAACTTTAGGCACATCAATAAATTAAACTAGCAGACAATTCACCCTAGATGTATTTCTAAACTCAAAGCTCGACTTATATGCACAATTCTGAAACCAACAGGATCTCCAGTCACACTGATTATTAATTTATACATCTACAGCTAAATTGATAAAGTAGTATTTCAGAATCAAGAATTTGTTCTCACTTACTTTGTGACCCACAGAAAATCAGCAAAATTGTACATACATATTGGAAATATTGGTACAAATTAATTCTGTATTTTTCTGCTACAGTTCATGAGTGGTGATCAACATTATTAATAAATACATTTTTCCTGAGTGCACCTCCTAAATAAACTCTAGAATAGGTAACATCATTAAAAACTTAAGAATTCAGAAGAGCCCTATGCTCTTGCAACAAAACCAGTTCCATTTCCTTTCCCACCACAAACAGTAAAGTGACCAAATACAAACTTAACATCTTTCACACAAACATACATCTTCACAATTATACAGTAATCACTGCAAATACCATACCCTTGAGGGGATAATTTATCCAGCCATCCTGCTTTAACCTTCTTTACTGATGGTCCATAAAAACAAGCATATGGTGTTATTGATTCATTTTCAGTCGAAGTTTGATCTCCATCAAAGTGCCGAAAACACATTTGTTCACTGACCAAGCGATCTGAATCTCCACTTTGTATCTTACTACAAGAAGCTGAGTGTGTTTTGGCTTTATTTTTCTTTTTCTTTAAAGGCAAAGAACATTGTTCCACAATAGAATATACAGATTCACTTTCAGATTCTTCTGGTGCTAATAACTTGTTTTCCTGAGACAGGGATTCATTTTTTGTAAATTTCTTTGTCTTCTCTTCCTGATTGTTAAAGGAACTAGAAAGAAAAAGTGCATTTTACTCTTAATATATTGCTACAATGCACAAATACATAAAATTATCAATTAGAACAAATATTGGTAAAACATATTACAAATATATTTGTAACTTGTTTAATTATTGTGATAACTACAGACATGCTAAACACAATGTATCTTTTAATTATGACTATACTGAATCCTACTTTCTCCATTCAACAGGTCTGGTAGGCAAGGTAACACTTGCTGGTTCCTTTAGAAGCCTGAAAAGGAATTTAAAATTGTTTTTCCTTCCTCAGAAGAATGGCTTCACTCATTGGACTTGCAGTATGACCTCTCTCTTCCTTCTCCCATCTCAACAGAAGCCAGGTATAGACTGGAGACTTAAGGAGCACATTAGTTCCCATTTCATCAAACCACTGGCCACTGCCTCATGACAGGATTAGAGAATGGGTTTTAGTTTTGTGTTTGGTTTTTTTCTAATTAAGAGGTCAGTATGACAGCACTCAGACATGGTTAGCTAGGAAACATGCAAAAATAAAACTTGTCTTCCTTGTTCTGACTGGGGAAAAGAGGGACATCTTCCAAATCCACAAAAGATCCTGAAACCTGGGTTAGAGAGCCTTAGGACAGCCACAGAGCCAAACTTCGCCTCCTATAGCATGGGGTAAAGGCTAAAATAGGAGAAAAAAATAAATAAATACAGTCATGGTTGTGCCTTCAGAGGTAGAGATCTACTTGTGATATCAGTAAATAAATCTTTCCTCTTTACATTTTGCATTTCTCTATAACTCTTATTTAATACCATAGATTCTTGTAAGAATAATACTCTTCATTCATTCCCAGATCCAATTTATTTCCACAAGCCAGGAATTCATTTCCATGAAGTTCCTAGAAAAGAAATATATCGTAAGCAACATTTGCACTGAAGTAGTAAATGATGTTTAAATTACTGTAGACATAGATCACACACAAACAACAGTCTAACTAGCAAAGCTATTCTTTGCCACATTTTCAAACATGCATTTGAAAGATCACGTTTTTAAAAGTATTCTAAGAAATGTTATTTTCAATATTTTCATTTTAAATAAATCTTATTTGAGCATAGTCCAAAATACCTGATACGAACCAATTAGATGAAGAAATCCAGTGCACAGAAATATCAGTGCTCTGATTTTCCTTGAAGTACAACTGAATATTATTTTTACCCTGAAATTTTCTAACCTCAAGAGCCACATGTTGCATGCAGATGAAGTATACCATTTATGATTTGCCACTGCTAGCCTATCTGTCATATCAATACTTCTCTGAATTAAATGTACAGCCTTCACAGTACACTAAAGATAAAATAAAGGTAAATTCAAATTCCTACAGTAACACTGTAGTCAGCCATATCAAAAATATTTCGCATTTTCTTGCCAAGATCTTCTTCCTAAAAGGCACATTTATGTTTGTTTAAAAATTTTTATCACAAACTGCTTGCAGTGTACGAAATGTCAAAGTTAACACTGTTCAAGAACGTTACATTTCACACTTCCTAAACTTGATCTGACAATCATACTGCATTACCAAGCTTCTCATTACTCATCTTTCTTCTTTTAAAAAAAAAAAAACAAAACAAACTAAAATGAACATCTTCATGCTTTCTGATGGAAGCATTTTAATTTACTCATTTAAGCTTTGATGTGTATGTCACAAAGCTGAAGGGTGGCAGAAAAAAGCGAATAAGCTTTCACAACAGTTGCCATTTTTGTTCTGAGCAGCAGTACCTCATCTTGTACATGAGGGCTGTACCTTGGCAACATGAAAAGGCAAGCTTAAAAAAAGCACAGAGCCCAAAGCTGAGTATGTGTACACTGCAGCAAAAATTGTGCAAATCGCAGGCTGCTACTGGGATAAACCTAGGTGAACAGTCTGCCTTCCTCTGCCAGCTAGATCCATCATAAGAAAAAAAAAAACACACCACCAAAACCCAACAACCACCACCACCCACACACCACGCTATTAACTATGTTGTAGCACCAAGGATTAGACAAAAAAAAATTAAAAACCAAAACATCCATAAACCTCACAGACAAACTAAACACAAAACTCAAAAGCAACCTGTCCTGTGCTTATCAAATGCTTGGATTGCCTGGAATCTCACAAAAGGAGGGGAAATGGCAGTGTCTCACTTCTACACAATAGTAAAGAGGCTAATACCATCACCCAGGAAACATTTTCAGAGTAAAAATGGCCAGTATCTTCTATCTTCATTTGCTTATCAGGGTGCAACCAACCACAAACCATCCCCACTGAAGCTATGTGGCAGTACCTCTTCCTCCCCCTCTTGAACCATTACAGTAACAGTTCTATGTCCTGCTCGTGCGCACTCTGCAATCTTCAGTACTTAGACAAGTGAATTCAGGGAGCCTGAGAACTTCCAAGCAGTAATCAAGAAATGCATTTCTATTGCCAGTAGATTTTAAAATGTAGAAGTCCACAAATGAAGACAGGTTGTGGGGACAGGGAGTTCTATTTGCTCACAAAGAGATATATTTCACCCAAATTAAAACCCAAGCATTTCCAATGTGTTGTTTACAGAATTACTCGGCAAGATGCTCAGACTCAAGACAAGAAAAAACTCCCATCTCCCACCTCCTGCAAATCCCTGAGGTATTATACAAAGGTAGTTAGCAACAGCATTTTCTCCTACAGACAACTTTATAGGGAGAAGTATTTCTTAAAAGGTAGGTGTATATATATTACACAGAAACTGTCTCTAAATATGTGCTGTTCTTATGCATAGGAAGCACCTACCTGGCTTCTGGATCCCAGAGAGATGGAACTACCTACTTGCAGCCCTGTATAAAAATCCCCTATTTTCAATCAGGAAGTAATTCAGATAAATTTTTGGTTTTAGCTTTTTCTAACAGGTAGTCTTGCTGATCACAACAGGAAGTCAGGAAACCTGAATGCTAAAACACAGACTGAATGAAGAGTATCAGGACTGAGGCTACATTAAACAAAGACTCAATGCCATTCTGGACAGGCATCTTCCTTAAGAGATACTACCTTGATCTTCTATTAAAGCTAATGTCACACAGTTCTCCTCAGGTTGATTCTTGAATCATGGTTTGGCAATAAAATTTTTTAACAGGTCCATAAAGATAAATTCCTCCTTTTAATATATTAAGCATTCTTATTTTAAAGTGGTAAGATTTGCAGTCTGGCCAGCATTCCACAGCATCACAACACTTAGGAGCTCACACAGTTTACTGAACTCAATATGCATGTTTAATTTAGTCTGACAGTCTAGAGCAAGAAATAAAGCCAATACTTCACTCTAGAGGCCCGAACTCATTAGAATTCAGTTTTTCTGTGAAGGATTCTAATATACTTGACTCATCAGTTGGACACAACAGTAAATCTGCTCTAAAACATCTGGATTTTTATTTGTGTTATTTATAAATCAATATTAAAAAAAAGATCCTTCTTCAGGTTGCCCTTTAGAGGTTTCTGCTTCTAGTTGTCTTTCTTCCTGACCCAAGTCAAAGGCATATTTTCTTTACAACCTTAATTCCCTGTTCTCTCACGGTCACTTACCTCCAGTCTGTAGTGACTCATTACCTATTGCTACAGACACTCCCTTTATAAAAGCCTATAGAAACCTTTGCTTTGTTACACCAATGAAACAGGAAAAAGGGTAATGGCCAACTTACAAGCCCTGAGAACAAACTTCAGTCAGTCAGTATAATAATTTGCTACATTTTCTTGTATGTAGACAAAACTATATTCTTACGCAAGATTATCTTTTAAAATGAAGCAGCAGTTACAAGCTCTAAAATCTCAGATACTTTACAGTGTTATCTAACCTTCTTATTTGTTCCTTGGATACTTGATAACTACTGAAAAAAATCTGAAAGTTAAATGTATCTTAGGACCTTTGTTTTATAGTTGTTCTTTATGACCTTTGTCTGCAATTAAGTACTAATGGAACTAAAATTAACTATGAAGTTTCCAACAGGCATACGATAAATATAATTCAAAAACTGTTCACTTACGTGAAAGTGATAATTAAAAACCAAATCTTCAGATCAGGGAAAGTATGTTATAATATACTTCATTAATCATGATTCTACAACCAGCAGAAACAGCAATTTTATTTCAAGCAGTTAATCCAGTTTAACAGCATGGTATTTTTGTATTTGGTGCCTTTGTAAGATAAGAAATATTGCTGACAACCTTCCTGGTTATGCTTTTTTTTTTTAATCCAACCATTTCAATGAAAGGTACAGAATAATGCCAAGAAGTAACAAGAAGGCTAGGAAACTTTTTCTAGAAAACCTGCTTATGCCATTGAACTAATTACAAAGTTAAATTTTGAATTTTTAAAGACATTGGCGCAGACAACAATAACTGGCACAGACGAGATGTTGTACACAAGGAAAGAAAACAAAAGCTCAGAAGTTACTTTTGTGTGCAGGTAACAAGAAGGAGAAGCAAGACATGAATTTATGTGTACCTCCTTAGAAAGTCAACAACAAAAAAACCACAACATATTTCCAAGGAAAAGAAATTACACACCAAAAATAGAGATAATTTTTATGCTTCTAAAACCACTCCCATTAGAAAATGACATTTGAATCATTTGTTTTCACTAACCAATTCTTAAGAAATTAAAACCGCGGAAAAAAAATCCTAGGCATCTGTTTGAGTAGCCTTCATCTTAGTCAACAGTTTAAAAAGTGAAACATTAGAGTGAAAACCAGGACAGAAACTAAGAATAATTTACTGTTTTCTCTAACTCTGTGGCTTGACATCAGCTGGGACAAGTATATGCAATCACAGAATCAACAATTTCTGGTCTGCATCCTGCTGAGACAGAAGCAGGAGCTGGGATTCACGGCATTTGGTGGATGCCTCACTAAGCTAATTCACCCCCCAGATCTCTACATGATTCAGAAATCTGTCCGCATGCCACCTACGGCACTCACACCGTCAAAGACTGACCCCAACAAAAATGTTCACTTCAGAGAATCCTACAACAAAAGTGACTTTCTGGGTATGCAGCAAGTTTAGGGGATGCATGAAAAATACCAGAAGTCCTGAGAATTTTCATATACAGGAATTAAAAAAGGGTATGGCCAAAAGCAACCATTAGATCATCTAAGCTAACATGTAAGCTATTTTCATAGGATATACACAAGCCTGTGTAGAGATGCCCAGTCTTGATCTGCAATTATCAGAAGAGAGAAAAGCCACTTTTACCTTTACTAGTAAATTCTAACGATTACCCACCACTTAACCTCAGTTAGGCACAAAGTATTACACTATACCACTGTATCCAAGAGAGTAAAAGGAAGGCATCAAGGTAGTCTGCAATTGCCCGTAATGACAGTTTTGCATGCTTAAAAAAAAAAAAGTCAGTTATCTGTCCTGTGCTGTTTAAAAAACCCCCAACCAACACACACTACAGTTTCTTACTACTATTGAAGAGTACAAAGTGTTTCTCGAGATTAAGAAAAGCCACTAGTCCACAAATATTTACACTATAAACCTTCTGCATGTACCTAAAAAGACAGAGAAGGTACCAGGAACTGAAAAAGCAGAGGAAAAAAGAAATAAGGGTAATACAAAACACTTAACATGAGGATTAAAGTGAAGATAGACCATTTATGTCCAGAATTCTCAACTTACTTCAGAATCTTTAGAGTTGTCACAAATAAAGGTTTCCCCATATGGAGAGATGATGGGTGGCTTTTCTTCTGTGAAAGTTTCTTAAAGCAAAAAAATAAATAAATAAATACAGTCATACAGTGCAATGCTCTACTAAAGTACTAATAAAATCAACAAGGGACACAAATTTTTTTGCTTGTGATTTCTCTGTCCTTCTCAGAAAAAATTTTGAAGAACAAGAAACAATTTTGCATTTCTGAACACCAGACACTTTTCTCCCCCCCTCAGACACTACTACTATTACTACATAATTTGGATATAACTTGCACACAGGCATCTTCTTCTTTCCTACCCTGCATAAAGTTAAAAAAAACCAAAACATTTTATTCCATCCTCTTAGGAGCAATAGCTCCAAAGTGTCCTTTATTCTGACTTAAAACAAAAACAAAAAAAAACAAACAAACAAAAAACACCACAAAAACTCATTTGTGCACAATCTTCACTTTGCCACCAAGTATTTGCTTTAAATTAATATGCATAACTTCAACAAGACATACCTCTAAAATATGAAAGAACTTTTGTTTACAACTGACTGCACAAGACAATAGACTCTTCCAGTAAACCATTTAATACAATTAATTTCCTGTTATTTCCTGGAGCTATGAGCACTGACTTAACAAATTAAGCAACATTAGTCAGGAATACACTCCTTGCATCTTTTAAGAAAAAGCTAATTCTGCTTAAAAAAATCTGGATCGAATCTTAGAAACTCAAAATACTGTAGTCTAATAAGTTTATTAAAATAAATGAGGTTTAAAGGCTGGAGTTTATAATTTTCATTTTATTAGTTCACAAACAAAAACTAAGTAAAAACACAGAAGTGGTTAAATGCTCTTTTATTATATACATCACTTCTTCCAGACACCCAATATTTCTTAAGATAAGCAAGTCAATACTCATTTTAGACAACTTCTGGTCTGAGGTTTCTTTTTCCTCAATATTCAAGATTAAATATCAGCGTGCTTAACTCACTGTTTTGTGAAATTTGCCTCCCAGTGTAAGAAATATTTACAAGATCCACATTTCTTCTTTTCTGAAGGGAACTTGAACAAAACAAAGCACAAAATGAAAACATTAAGTGAAATTTCCCAGAAATGGAGCAAAAACATCTTATGCAGTTAAATTATTAACATTATAGAAATATAGAATAGTCAATTTGAAGTCTTGGGAAAATTTCTGATTTAATTTAAAAGTTACCCAACAACATGTTTTCCTCCCTTTATGACACTGAATACTTCTCTAATCCTAGACCACATCTTGAGTTTGGTTTGTTTTGTTTTGAATTGATTTTGTGATACATTTAGATTGCTGGGAAGCATGGAGATCACCCACTCTTCCCCCATCCTTTATCTTTCCTTCTCCTTCACACTGATTACCAAGGACAATATTTAAAGAAGGATGTGATATGAAATTCTAATTTAACATTAAGCTCAAAGGGAGCCTGGGCATGGGAATCCAGAAAAAACATGCTCTCAACTGCTAAAAAAAAAAATTGCTGTAAAGTTTTGATTTCCTCTGGTGAATTTTTTTCCCAGAAAGTTTTCAATCTGAGACAAACAGCATTGCATTGCAACTGCCTGTGACTACCACTGCACATTTTGTAGATAGGTAAGAATGTATCCTCATACACAACAGAAAAAATATTTTATTACTGGTTTTGTGCTGGCCCCTAAGTTTTTCAGCAATTTCATGTATAGTGGCACTCATCATGCTGCTAAAGATCACATTTTTTTTTAATTATTATTATTGATATTTCAGGCTGAGACAGAAGCTTTAGAATAACAACACAGGAACAAATATGCTTGAATTAGTACATTTCTAACCCAACTTCACTACTCTAGCAGTCTGCGTTAGAGCCATTTTCAGCCACGCTCTGATTTCTCCTGTTAACATGAATAATTAGTAATTTTTCCTCTTAATTTCATTTTCTCTGCTTGAAACAACAGTGATGCAGATCCTCATGCATCCTTATAGAATATTTAAGTGACTGATAAATGCCATACAAGACCCTTGAAGTTTTCCTAACAGTTTGCAGGTCCTCCATCCTTCAAAGCCAAAGATAAGTATGTTTTACTAAAAATATCAATATTCCTAATTTTTGTTTCCCCATTTCCCCACTTGACATATTGAGAAATTTTATTCTTTTAAGATCAGCTATATTCAAACCTTTAGAAATACTGTCCCATGAAGTCCAAATTTAATTACTCCATATTACAGGCTGATGTTTCTTTATGACAGAAGGCATACATTTATGAACCACTGTTTTGTATCATTTTTAACCCATGCCTAAATCTGCCCCAAACAAATTATTAAATTCAAGACAGAAGCCACACCTTACGAAGTTACTTGACACTTCAAATGTTATCCAGGTTATATCAATTAAGTTCCTCAAAGATATTATGTAAAATCCTGGGTTTAGAAAACACAGGGTAAGTTTGGCCAGTGAAGGTGGATCATGGCCTAGCTCCCATACATAACTGTTTACTCCCCCAGGCTATAATTACAAAAGATACACAGCAAGTACTTTTAAAGTCTGTGTTTCTTCGTATATTTTACTAGAATTCATGCAGTTACATCTTCTGAACCTACATTAGCAAACTAACTTCATGCATTTGTACTAACCTAATTTTAAAGAACCTGGTATGCTAACCAAAACAAAACCAACCAAACAAAACACCCCCCCAAAAAACAACAAAAAAAAAAAAACCAAAAAAACCCAAAAAACGTTTTCAACACAGACCAGATTTTCTATTGTTAGGTTGGGGTTTTTTAAGGGCATTAATAGGATTAAAATAAATTACAGATACAGAGATGCAGCTTTGACTGAAGGAGCTTTTAAAATTATGGTTTTCTTCCTTAGGTAAAACAGTGAGTCATTGGCTTAATTTCAGGGTGGATGGATTTAAAAGTGGGTAATAGTAATGGCAATGAGTAAAGATAAATTCACCAGGAAATGAAAAATAACAAATCAGCTTACAAAGACCTGCATTTTTTAATTCATATGTTTTTCATGACTTGTGTATTTCTTTTTTTAATTATGCATGCATATATGGCAAGAAAATCTGCTAATAAGCAAACTATAGTCTTTTTTTCCAGCAATCAAAAATAAAACCTTTTTATCATTTTCTGAAAAAAAGAAGTTCTAACTTATGTCAGGTAAAAAACTATCTCAAGATATAAAATGAATGAAACAAGTTTACTTTGAATATCTGCTTGAAAGATTATGTATAACAAACAACATACAGTGCAAGCTATAAAATGATAATAATTTGTCAATGCTCAATAGAATAGTTACCTAGTTATTATACAAATTGAATACCTGGATTAAAAGACAGAAAAATACTGAAGACTTCTTTGGGGGCAAATAAGATTTAAAAAAAAAAAACAACAAAAAACCCCCAACTTATAACTACACCAATCTATGGCTTCCCTTAACCATTTCCAAATTTAATACCTCTTCAGATGAATGATCACCTTTATTTTGCTCTTTAAAGGAAGGTTAGTGCAAGCAGTCTGCCAATCACAAAATGTGCCAATTTTACAAAGATAGAATAATAATAATTAAATTACCACTTCGTTACAACTGTGGAGATTAAGACCCACTATTTTCATACATTAAGAGGTACCGGATGCGGCTCAGGCTGCATAGTCTTCCCCACCGCCCTTTCCTTATGCATAAACAGGATGAAAGGGTGTGATGAGGCAGCAACTAGTCTTGCTAAAGGCTGAGAGACTGGAAAGGTGAGAGCTTCACACTGGGCTGAGCTGAGCTGTTTTATTCAATATACTCCTGTCACCTTGCAAATAAAGTGAGGGAGATAGGTCAGTGCAAGCTGTCAGTGCTTCAGCCTTTACTGGCATTCATCTGCTGAGTGTTTTAAATGAATGAAGCTTTTGTTTTCAAATGCCTTCAAAACGTTTTCTTCTTTATCTCAAGACCTAACACTCCCATAACGCAAACACATCAAAAGCACTCCAGCACACTGTGTTAGAGCTTCGGGGTTCACAGACTGCTTGCAGAGGTAAATTAATGGTGAGGCTTGACCATAGGAAACAAGAGGGAGCAGCTTCTCCTTCCTAAAAAAATTGCTTTGTGTGACAGAACACAGAGTAGAGAGTAACAGTAGCCCCAGCTTGGGCTTCTCATTAGCAATCTTGACCACTTACATGTTAAGAAATGGAGTCTAAAGAATATCAGCACCAAACAAGAAGTTTCAACCATAGGATCTGCCAGCTGCAGAAAATGAATAGCGCCTGCTCAGGCCAAGCACCATTATCTATTTATTTCCATTCTCCTCCAAACACAACATGTTTCCCACAACTACTTTTGGTCTATTTCTTCTTCTTTCTCTTAATAAAGAATCAGAGTAAACCCACTGCTGAACAATACAAGTGTCATGGTTTAACCCCAGCCAGCAACTGAACATCACGCAGCCACTCACTCACACCCCTCCCTGCCCAGTGGGATGGGGGAGAAAATTGGGAAAAGTAGTAAAACTCGCGGGTTGAGATAAGAACAGTTTAATAGAACAGAAAAGAAGAAACTAATAATGATAATGATAACACTAATAAAATGGCAACAGTAATAATAAAAGAATTGGAATATACAAATGATGCGCAGGGCAATTGCTCATCACTTGCAACCGACGCCCAGTTAGTCCCTGAGCAGCGATCCCCCTGCCCCCACTCCCCCCAGTTTATATTCTAGATGGGAGATCACACGGTATGGAATACCCCTTTGGCCACTTTGGGTCAGCTGTCCTGGCTGTGTCTCCTCCCAACTTCTTGTGCCCCTCCAGCCTTCTTGCTGGCTGGGCATGACAAGCTGAAAAATCCTTGACTTAGTCTAAACACAACTGAGCAACAACTGAAAACATCAGTGTGTTACCAATATTCTTCTGATACTGAAGTCAAAAACATAGCACTATACCAGGTACTAGGAAGACAGTTAACTCTATCCCAGCTGAAACCAGGACAACAAGTAACAAAGTTGGGGGATATGAAAAGATCTAAAAGTATATAGAGTTCGTCAGCCTGAAATTTTATCTGTGTACAACAACCAGGTCTACCATGTTATAAATCTTCTTAAGCTTTTTCTTTGAACAAATTGCCGCTCTGAATGATGCAACACTAGCTATTTCACCTAAGAGTGACTGCTAAATGACATGATCCACAGCCTCTAGAACTATCTCTACACTTACTATCTTTAATCTTGTGCTAAAGGCATGTCAGTGGCTATCTCCATCCATTGCATTACCTTCACTATTCAGTCTTACAAGAGCCTCAATTTTTCCACTCATGTCTATATGGAAGAAGTCACTTAAACCAAAAGTATCAAGAGAGATCATGAAACTTCCAATCCACTGTGTTTAACCCTTTCTTCTGTTCCACAACATGACTGGGGAACCTTATGAAAATTTTAAGACTTCTCACTTAAATATAGGATGCAGGGTCTCAGAAAGAGTGACTACTTTGTCTAATAAAGATGTTTTGGATGCAGATTATTTCAGAAGATTATTTGTAATCCCCTTAACAATTCCAGTGCTTTAAAACTTTTGAGTGACTTTTACTAATTCTGTACCAACAGAGCTCATAGTGTTATAAGAAGGAAAAGTCTAGCTGACGAGAATCTAGCATAACTACACATCACTTCCAATACTGATCAACCAAAAACTCTACTAAAAACTGCACAATAACCCCACTATCAAGAACACTGTGTAATTGTTCCTTTTTTTTTTTTTTTTAATTCTGCACCCCTCAGTACTACAGTGATGCCACATATACTTCCAAGAAGAAAGAAAACCAAAATATTTCCAACTTCTAAAACGCTATGGTGTCTTACCAGCTGACAGCATGTTTTCATTACAGGCAAAAGCCAGGAGCACAAGTGAGGCACAGGGAAAACAGATATAATTGCAGGAGAGGCAAGCACATTATTAGTAATAAAAAGTGACATGGTCACAGCACTAGTAAGAGCCACAAGGAGGTCCACTGTATGAACTTTTCGTGCCAGAAGGCACATAGGAGACCATGAGAAAAGCATTTCCTTACACAAAAATTTAATGACTAATATCCATGAGCAACTAGAAGGAAATGTTGCGTTTCCCAGATTTCAGCAGGATTTCTCTGCCTCTATGGTAAACCCTTCACACTATGTAACAAGGATAAAACCAGCATCTATCAATAAAAGTCAGTTGAGAGTGTTTGTCTATGCAATTATGCAAGACAGACACTATCTTTCCTGAGGTTAAAGACGCTGCAAGCTGCCATTTTAGAGTTCTGTATTAATTCTTTGCCTCTAAAAAAATAACCGGCAAGGTTATCAAGAATGTTTCTATGAAGTTTAAGTTCTGTTTGGAAGTTCTGGTTTAGCCTTGATCTTCCTCAGACAAACTGCTACTTGTCCTTCAGGACTTCCCTATTGTTATAACTGGAGCATAAAGATGAAGAAAAGCTGGAGCTCAGAAATTAAAATGGTGGGTAATGAAGTTAGTGACACAGTCACATATCAATCACTAATAGATTGGGATTTGGAAGATTTACTTCAATGGTGGTAAGACTACAAATATAGCATATTCTCTCTACTGGATGATTTTTTTCTCAAAAGACATTAACAGTACTCTTTTAGTAGCGAGTTATTGTTATCTTTTAGGATGAAATTCCCATTTCAGCTCAGCAGGAATAGCTTTATTATATGAAGTAGGGATAACCACTCCACAAAAGTTAATGTAAAGCTATTCCCCACCAAAAAATGTTTATACTTAAGTTTAAATAAGCACAATTTTTTGGTGATTTAGAAGGCACTGATGAAACATTTTTTAAGGTACACAAAAATCTCTTAATTTTTGCAAAGAATCTTTGCCTCTCCATCTGTTCAATCAAACAATTGTATTACAACATTTAATATTGGCGTCTTTTGATAATCTAAAAGAAACTTATAAATGCTGGGAAAACTGCATTTACGGCATGTATAAACTTGCCAATGATGTTTCTAACTGCTGAGATACACAGATGAAAAAGACAAGATAAATACAAAGCATTCTCAGACATGTCCCTTCCAGGGATAGCTAGTGGTTTAAGAAAAAAAAAAGAAAATTCACTAAAAAAAGTGGAACCTAATGATTTGGATATGACTACACTGACAAAACTTTGCATATGCCTTTGCATGAGTTTTTCTTCTCTGTTTCAGACACTTAACCAGCATGACAAGTAAAAGCTTATAGTTAGAAACCAAAAATATCACAAATTAATCTGTGCGGAGATATTCTTGGTTTACACAGATTGTAATATTGTGATCAACTGCACATTCAGTGCCTATTATTTTTAACATTCAAACAATATTACTTTTATTAAGATAGGCCTGGAGTTAAGTTCTAACATCAGACCTTTTCCTTTACATTCCATCATATTTTTGCAAGACAAGCTACAACTAATACTAATTCAAGACAATAAGTGCTACTCACTAATTTGTGGATTCAAATTATGAACTCAACCATTTTGAAGGCAGAAAAATCCACACCCACATCACATGAATATTTTGAAACAAATTCAAACTCTCCTATGCAATTTATCGTACCAAACCTTATTGGACACTATCCAATACTATCCTTACCAATGATGCAGAGAACTATCCTTACAAAGATTCCATAATTCTGAAAACCTGACAGATCCAATTTCTTTTTATTTCCCTTTTTCCACTTCTTTTTTCCTGCTGGAATGCCTCAAAAATATTTTTATACTACAAGCATCATTAAAAGCTAAGGTTTTGTTATTGTGAGAAACCAGCAAAAGCCAACACCTAATGCAGCAAACTGATTGCATTCATTCTCTGAGTTAACAGTTAAACTACAACCAGTTTAGAAATTGATCTAAGAGCCATCCTGAAGAAAGTCCTTGCTTTAGACCCACAGTATAACATAATTTCCTCCTCCACAAAATATCCTATTCTAATTTAAAACAAAAATGTACATATTTATATTTACATATAAATTTTATGTGCTTTAAGGCTAAGATTTAAGAGTCTCATGTAATCGTCTTGTTATGCCTATGTGTGCAATCATATCAGATATATCCTGCTTTGTTTACAGGGTGGCTACAGCATACAATGCACAAAACGGACAAGAAGGATTTTCTAAATTTTGCCTCACTTTTTAGATAAAACTACATTAATATGTGTAGGTATATAAAACTTCCTAGATCTTTCTTGTAAGTTACATATATAAAATAATAAACTTGTATTTTCCAAGAACAGTTTCTCTTGAAAGGTAGATACAACCCAAATACTTGTGTTTCACAATAATTGTTGTCTCATCATAAAAAAAGATTTTTATAATTAAGGGTGAATTTTTAGCCTTTTGAAATCATCATTTTGTCACCATTTTCCTGTGATGAATCAGAATTTCATCAGAAACAATACAGCTAAGGTCTAATTAATATCATTAGCAACGTTTTAGTTTGGAATAGATTCAACAGCTTTTTCTGTTACTTTTCAGTCTTGGTTTTGTAACATTGGTGCATTTTCATTCTTCCTCATCGTAACAGCATACAGATTAAGTTTAAAAAATGCTTGATATAGTTGTTTTTAACAAAGGTTTTATCTAAAGCAATAAAGATTCCTTTATTTGAAAATATGTAGACACAGAGATGATCGGGGAGGTTATAAGGAAACACTATTCTAAAATTTCCTTTTATGCTCTCATTTGCGCTTTTAATTTGTATTGAACCTTTTTCCTCCTTCAGTTAATTTGGCAACATTCATACCAGATCCAGTGTATTTACAGCACATATTAAAAAAATCCACAAAAAAATGACATCAAAAAACCGGTGAGAAACCCCAAACCTAATTTCTACAATGATAGCGATTCTTCATCGGAAAGAAACAGCAGTTACCTTGATGAAGCTTGAACTTTACTTGATTCAGGAATTTCTGGTACAGGTCGATGCCTTAATATAAAAGACCGGCTTGCTCTTGGAAATACTTTCATGCAGTTTTGCGTATAAGAATAATATAAGTCATTGTCTATCATTTCTCCTTTAAACTTGAAGAATGGAGAATTTGGCTCACTATCAGATAAATCATCCTCAACTGCAAACATCAGATGTTTGTTTTCATTGTATTTTGTCTCACATGAATGAGCAAATGAAGAAGGAGGATCATGAAATGCCAAACAGCAAGCCAAGTGCTCATCAGCTTGGTATGCAGCAGCTTCTTCCAGTGATGTATCTGGCTGAGTATTCATCTTAATACTTCCACTTGGATTGACAGCTTTTAGTATGCTGTCTGAATTCTGGTATAGACTAGAAAAATCCAAATCTGTAAAGCTATCATCATTTGCCTCCAATAAGTTTTGCTCTGCAAGTTCAAACCTTTCTTTATCAATGTAAGCTTTATTAAGTTGTTCTGACAATGTTGCAGGTATCAAGCTAGTCTCATCTACACTGGAATTGCTTATTGGAGACTCCTGATCCGAGGACGGATATTGCTTCTCTTCCAAACCTTTCAAGTCTTTGAATTTTAGATTTTCACGGAAAAGAGAATTTCTTTGCATTGTTGAAAGAGTGGTGTCTAATTGCTTAAGAATCCTTCTGCGGTGCCCTGTAGGCAACACTCCCATTTGCTGAAGCACGCTGTTATTTATTCCCACGCAATCTGTCACAATGTTATAGCCATATTCTTTAAAGTTAGGAAGATACTGCCCCAAGTTAATGTTGACCAAGAATTCTTCAATATCAGTGTCATTGCCTGTGGATGACATGATGGCAGCTTCATTCCGAATACTGCCCCGCACAGTCATGTAGAAATATAGTCAGGATGTGCGCATATTCACTAGCAACAAAGCTCTCTAAATTTGGTGTCAGCCAACCAATGGAGAATATGTTTCTTCAAGACACTTCTTCGAGTTTCTTCAGTTCCAACTGATTTTTTTTAAAGACTGAAAACCTATGGAAAAGAAAAAGGGCATTAAAAAAAAAAATTCCCAGCTGAATTCACATTAATCTTGGATAAAGTTTCAAAAGGCTCCCTGTGATTTCTACAGTAACATTTTTAAATTGCTTATATATGAAAATTTCAAGGAGGGTAAACAGCATAACCTCTCCATCCTTTTATCTTTCCAGCCTTTTATCTTGGCCTGTATAAAGAGAATAGAGAAATCAGTCTTAGCACAAGAAATAGTCTGAAAACATATAATCCTAGTAGTTACGTTAAAATGAACAGCTAAGAGATGAACCACTTATCTACATACACACTCTCTTATTACACAGTACTTGGATATAAGAGGGATAAAAAGTGATCTAAGACCAGAGCTGGCACCCAAAGCTTTCCTATTCCCACACTAGCACCAGTTAACTACCGCATAGGGCTTCTACTTCCTTATGTTCTGAGCTTTAAACTCTTTTTGGCACAGAAACACACTTTCAATGGGAAAAAGGAAAAATGACTGGCTAGAACTTTCTATGTGAACTGCGGGTTCAAGCCCTCTTCTATTGAGAATCCAACTGAACAAGTACCATAACCAATAAAATACTTTACAAAGGTAGAATCACTTCGGGGGGGG